TAATCCCAGGATTAATTGTTAATAGTTAACAAAAACTAAAACCATAAAAAACATTTTCATTACTTTAAATAAAAATAAACTTTTTTTTCAACTAGTTGCCATTTCTCATATTAACTTGTAATAAAATAGCTAAAACTGAAATAAAATGAATACAAACTTAACAAACAAAACAAAAAAATAATAAAATGACAAAAACACACAACAAAATTGCTGAAACTTTAACTAAAATTAAAATGAAAAAAGAAAACTAATTCAAAATATTAATAAAATTGTAATAGTATATCTCAATTCTTACATTAAAAGAAACATTGCATCTCACGACAATGTCATTCTGCTTATATTCCCATCTCAATTCAGAGGATAAACTTCAACAGTTTATTGGTAACAAAAACAAAAACTGAATCCATAAAAAATTTACTTGAAACAAAATGAACATTGACTGAAATAAAATGTACAAATATACGCTATGAACTTACTTTATTTCAGCTATAGTTGCCATTTCTTATTTTCATTTAGTTTAACTTTGAACTGGAATAAACCCTAATACATACATATTAAAAACAAAAAACTAATAAACATGACAAAAAACAAGCAGAGTGTCTAAAATTAAAATGGAAAATATAAAAATAAAAACGAACTCAAAATATTAATAATAGTACATCAATGTACTAAAATAACACTGGTTTAAACAGATCAATTCAGACCTTACAGATCTCTGAAATAGGTTTGATTTTTAGTCAGTGGCATGGAGAAATAATTTAAGCCTAAAACAAATCCCTCATGCATCACATGACAGCAAGATCTGGTGAAGGAATCAAATGAGTTTCATGACAAATTCATCTCGATTCTTGAGTTTCTCTCAGTCTAACATTCCCATTAAGTTATAAAAACGTCATTTCTGAATGTTTTTAAATGTTCAAAACATCTTTTTTTTTTTCCTATTAAGAATGTTTCGGTAACACTTAAAGCCTTTATGTATAATGCATTATAAAGGGTTATTAAAGGGAATAATGCATTATAATTATTCATTGTTATTCATTATTCATTCATTATTCATAATTATTCATTATTATGCATTGTGATGCATTATATCTTGTCGTAAATAATTATAACCGAATTTAAAATGCATAGTGCAACAATGAATTGATAAGTGTTATAATGTGTGGTTACAATTATTCATGAGACTGTATAATGCATTATAAGGTGTATTACAAAGCATAATTAATGCATTAAAACTACTTTTATGATGCATTATACATAAAGGCTTTAAGTAAAGTGTTACCAATGTTTCTTCTTGGTTATGTGAATGTTAGAGGAACGTTCCATTCTATCATTGTGAACATGTTATGAGAACGTTACATTACGTTACATTAGAATGTTCTCTCAACATTTAAACTTTTTTTTTGGTTATGCGAATGTTCCATTTGATCATTTCGAAACCATTATGAAAATGTTATTTATGAATGTTTTTTTAAATGTTGAAAGCATCCAGTTTTTTATGTATTAGGAACATTTCTTGGTTATGTGAATGTTAGAGAAACATTCAATTCTATAATTTTGAAAGCATTACGAGAATGTTACATTTGAATGTTCTCTCAATCTTTAAAATACCCTTTATATATATATATATATTTACAGAATGTTTTTTCTTGGTTATGGGAACATTAGTGGAACATTGTATCATTTTGAAACCGTTATTTCTGCATGTTTTTTACGTGTTTAATCTATTGAGAATGTTTCTTGGATATATTCGAGAACATTCCATTCTATCAATTTGAAAACATTATGAGAATCTTCTGTTGTTATTACTGATGAATGTACAAAAGTAACATTCCCATAATGTTTGCAGAATAGTTGTGAATGAAAATGTGGCATTCCCCTTAACGTTGTCTTTAACGTTCACATAACCAAGAAAAAACATTTTTACACATTTAAAAAATTGAATGTTTTGAAATTGAATGTTCATATTCTTGTTTATATGAACTTTAAAGTGAGAGTTCACCCAAAAATGAAAATTCTGTGATCATTTACTCACCCTAAGGTTATTCGTAGCCATTGACTTCCATAGTTTAGAATAAAAAAAATACTATAGAAGTCAACCAGCAACTGTTTGGTTACCAACATTCTTCATCACAGCTTCTTTTGTGTTCAGCAGAAGAAATACATTTATACAGGTTTGGAACAACGTGAGGGAGAGTAAATGATGACAAAATGTTAATTTTTTGGGTGAACTGTCACTTTAAGATCATTTTGCAAACATTATGCGAATGTTACTTTTGAATGTTCTCTGAAAGTTCTGAAACAAGTAGTAACATTTTAAAAAACTTTAGATGAACGTCCGACCAAAACATAAAAAAAAAAAAAGTAATGTGAATAATGTATGAATAATGTTTTTGTGCTAGCATTTGAGAACATTATTAAAGTCCAGATAACTGTGAACAAACGTTTTATTAACGTTACATGTTTGTTCATTACTCTGAGAGAACCTTCCCAGATCGTTAGCCAAGATTCTAAGAGCGTTATTTGTTAGCTGAAAAAAATATGTCCTGTACGTGATGAACGTTCTAAGAAACGTTTTTGTAACCTTTAAATAACGATATAATCACAACAAGAAAACCGGACATTTTAACATTCTTAGAATATAAAAAAAATAAACGCTCAAATAACACTATATTTTGGGTGAGGATAAAGTTAGTACAATGTTTTAGGAAACGTTTCTGTGACCTTCAAATAAGATAATAATCGAGAAAACTGGACACTTCTATCCAAAGATATCCCTTTTGATCTGTTTGAATGGAAGTCTATGGGGTGGTTGCTAGGGTGCTGTAAGTGGTTGCTAGGGTGTGGCTATGAAGATTATAGGTCATTACTTATTGGTTACTTGAAAAGGTAAGTCAAGTGAGTGTGAGAGAGAGTTAGAGAGAGAGGGAGAGAAGGGGTTTCTAAGGCCGTGTGTGTGTGTGAGATTCAAATTCACGAAAATTCCGTCAATGCATGTCTATGGGGTATTTTTGCCCGCTTTTTCGTCTGCTGTGCGAACATCGTAGGTCCAATCATTTAGAAATGATAAAGCACACCTCTCCGCAATGAGCCGGTCGATTTGAAACCTCATTCATGGGTCTACGACAAACGGTGCGGGAGTAGCACGCCAAAATTTTGTGTGGAAGAATAATAAGAATGTAAGAGAACTATAGTAATGCTTTGGCGGTTGCTAGGGTGTTCTGAGTGGTTGCTAGAAATTTGCTAGGGTGTTGCTAAGGTGTTCTGGGTGGTTGCTAGGGTGTTCTGAGTGGTTGCTAGGGTGTTGCTAAGGTGTTCTGGGTGGTTGCTAGGGTGTTCTGAGTGTTTGCTAGGGTGTTGCTAAGGTGTTCTGGGTGGTTGCTAGGGTTTTATTAGTTGTTGTTTGGTGGTTGCTAGGGTGTTGCTATGCGGTTGCTATGGTATCCTGGGTGGCAGCCAGGGTGTTTCTACACGGTTACTAAGGCATTCTGGGTGGTTGTTAAGGCATAGCTAGGCGGTTGCTAAGATGTTCTGGGTGGTTGCTATGGTGTTGCTATGCGATTGCTAGGGTATCATAGGTGGTAGCTAGGGTGTTGCTACACGGTTGCTAAGGCATTCTGGGTGGTTGTTAAGGCATAGCTAGGCGGTTGCTAAGATGTTCTGGGTGGTTGCTATGGTGTTGCTATGCGATTGCTAGGGTATCATAGGTGGTAGCTAGGGTGTTGCTACACGGTTGCTAAGGCATTCTGGGTGGTTGTTAAGGCATAGCTAGGCGGTTGCTAAGATGTTCTGGGTGGTTGCTATGGTGTTGCTATGTGATTGCTAGGGTATCATAGGTGGTAGCTAGGGTGTTGCTACACGGTTGCTAAGGCATTCTGGTTGGTGTTTAAGGCTTAGCTAGGCGGTTGCTAAGATGTTCTGGGTGGTTGCTATGGTGTTGCTATGCGATTGCTAGGGTATCATGGGTGGTAGCTAGGGTGTTGCTACACAGTTGCTAAGGCATTCTGGGTGGTTGTTAAGGTATAGCTAGGTGGTTGCTAAGATGTTCTGGGTGGTTGCTAGGGTGTTGCTATGCGGTTGCTATGGTATCCTGGGTGGCAGCCAGGGTGTTGCTACACGGTTACTAAGGCATTCTGGGTGGTTGTTAAGGCATAGCTAGGCGGTTGCTAAGATGTTCTGGGTGGTTGCTATGGTGTTGCTATGCGATTGCTAGGGTATCATGGGTGGTAGCTAGGGTGTTGCTACACGGTTGCTAAGGCATTCTGGGTGGTTGTTAAGGCATAGCTAGGCGGTTGCTAAGATGTTCTGGGTGGCTGTTTGGGTGTTGCTAGGTGGTTGCTAGGGTGTTCTGGGTGATTGCTATGGTGTGATATCCTGTCAATGTTTCAGAAACATTTTAAAACAATGTTCCCACAACGTTCTTATAACCTAAATTTGTTACCTGGGTAACTCAGCGACAGAAATTTTAGCAGGACTTGGGGTGAGCTGTGCTTGTAATGACGTGACGCTAAAATCATGTAGTTATCATGCCTTTCTTTCAGAAAACCCTGATTCAAACCTTAATTAACAGACTTAATTAACAAAATCACTAGCTTTTTAAAAATTGCTTGTAAATCTCTTGTTATGCTGTATTATCACCGAATCTTGGATTCAATCTTTTTATCAGCTTATTTTCTTTCAATCAGCAGGTTTTGTGTTTCTTTTAGGAACTGATTGATCGCAGGCCTCATTGATCTGAGCTCATGCACCTCAGTTTATGAGTGAAAAAAGCATTATTTGGGGATAATTTTGGCAATATTCACTCCAAAACTGAGGTGCATAAGCTCAGAAAACAAAAATCCTGTCAACATGACGGTTAAGCCACATTTTTCTCGAAAAAACAACAATGAAATGTACCATTGTATGGCTGAAGAGGTTTATACAAAACTGATCTAGTTTTAGATGCTGCGTATCTGAATGACAGACAACACTGTTCATTTGCTTTGTTTTTTATTTCACAGTTTTGCCCAAACAGAATGGCGAGATTGCTATAGTGACGGGCGGCGCCAAAGGACTCGGCTATGAGACGGTCAGACAGCTGACGAATCTGGGAGTTTATGTCATAATAGGTAAAGTACCATCAGTTATCATAATACACTCCACAGGCATTGAGCTCTGTGCCTCTGGTCTGCAGAAATGACAAAAGTCAGGTTGCATTGTGTCATTAAGCCTCAGAAAATGTTATTAGGATGTTAAAATAAGATTACAGTGCCTTTCAGACGTCTGAGTGTGGCATTTGAGTCTGGCTTTGATTTATACATGTAATGTATGGTAGTACAATTTAAGAAGCGCTAAACTGAGCATTTGTCATCCAGTATCCAGAAAAATAAGTCTTTTTGTGACATAACACAAATATACCAAAAACAAGGTTATAATAGTTAACTAAAACGAAAACCATAAAACAATTTTTGTAACTTGAAGTAAAATGATCTTTAACTGAAATGCACTTAAATATATAGAATAGAAAAAAAAACTTATTAAAAAATAAAATTAATTTAAAATAAATAATTTAATTATTTAACATTTAATCATTACATTAATGGTATGTTCTATTAATATATTATTAATATATGATTTTATTCAACTTTAAAATAAAATAAACTTATTTTTTTTCAGCTAGTTGCCAAAACAGAATTTATCATTTTAAATTAGTTTATCTTGATGTACTACAATAACTAAATCTAAAACTGAAATAAAAATGAATGAAAACTATATAGACATATTAAAAAAAAACTAATAGAATTACAAAAATGTGCAACAAAATTATTAAAACTTTAACTATAATTAAAATATTAAAATAAAGCATAAAAATAAAAACTAATTCAAAATATTAACAAAAAATTTAATTGAAAGAATTGTGGGTTTTCCAATAAAGCATTACAATAATCTAACCTTGAGGTCATGAACGCATGAATTAACATGTCTGTATTTGACACTGAGAGCATAGGTCGTAATTTAAATATATTTTTAGATTGAAAAATGCGATTTTATAAATGCTAGAAACATGACTTTCAATGGAAAAGTTGCTATCAAATAGCACACCTAGGTTCCTAACTGATGGTGAAAAATTAAGAAATGACAGTGTTCTAGATTATTATATGCAGAGGATTTTGGTCCGATAAGTAAAACCTCAGTTTTTTCAGAATTTAGCAGTAGGAAATTACTTGTCATCCAGTTTTTTATATCAGCTATGCATTCCGTTAGTTTTGCGAATTGGTATGTTTCATTGGGCCGTGAAGAAATATAGAGCTGAGTATCATCAGCATAACAGTGAAAGCTAATACCATGTTTCTTGATGATATCTCCCAAGGGTAACATGTAATGCTTGAAAAGCAACGGTCCTAGTACTGAGCCTTGTGGTACTCCATACTGCACTTGTGATCGATATGATACCTCTTCATGACGGTCAGATAAGTACGATTTGAACCATGACAATGTAATTCCATTAATGTCAACATAATTTTGTAGTCTACTCAAAAGAATGTTGTGGTCGATGGTGTAAAACACAGTGCTAAGATCCAGTAGCACTAATAGAGAGATACAACCACGATCAGATGATAAGAGCAGGTCATTTGTAACTCTGATAAGAGCAGTCTCAGTACTACGATACAATCTAAATCCTGAGTCGAAATCCTCAGTCAAGTCAAGTGAGCTAAAGGTCTTGAAATTATTTATGCATGTAATATATGGTAGTACAATTCAAGAAAACTAAACTGAGCTTTTATCATTAAATATATCCAGAAAAAAAATCCTTTTCTAGTTAAAGGGTGTGCAGATAACATTGCCTTTTCGTGTTTCAGAAACAAATATGGATATGTGGTTATGAATATTCCATCAAAATGCAGCTGTAATCTATCACAGATTTCATACCTGCTGATTGTTATCTGTTATAATGTGTTTATTTATACAACATTCAGAGGAAGAGATCTGATGATGGTCTCTCACATCTGTGCCAGCTGGAGCGATTTTTCTCTGTGGCACTTCAAGAGCTTTTAATAAAACACACGGGGAGATTCTACACATGACTGTGCAAAATTCAGGATTGAAGAATTCATAGAAATTCAACATAGTCACGCAGTCATTGTATTATTCTAAGTTCTGCAACATAAAACATTAATTTTGGCAAATTTATTTTCTGATATGTAGATTTTGGATTTGAAGCAGTTTTATGAGCTCTTAAAATCAAAGTGCAGTGCTTTTTGGTACAGTGTCTGGTTGCGCTCCCTCGGCGTCAGCACAGTTAATAGGAGCAGATAATTAGGTTATACTTTTAATTCCCAGAAGCCAGAAATATTACCTGGCAAATTACTGCCTTTGGGCTGTGTTCTTAATGACCAACTACTCTTATTGAGACTCTGATAGTGAAGTTTCTGTATTGTAGTTACAATATCGATATGCTTAAGATTATACAATTTTTATTAAAAGTTATGAAATTCTGTTTGAATGAGCTGCATTTGATGCCACTGTAAAATACAGATAATGAAGCACACGTAACTGTTATTTACCATGCAGTTGATTTGTTTACAGCTTTTTTACATTGTATGACACGTTCAGCATGCAAAAGGTTTCAATTTGTGGTTGATAGAAACAGGGTTATTATAAAACAATTTGTTACTTGAAATAAAATAAACTCTAAAATAAAATATTAAAAAATATTTATTTTATTTCAGCTAGTTGCCATGGCAACATTTCTCATTTTTATTTAGTTTATCTTGATGTACCGAAATAACTAAAATTAAAACTGGAATAAAAATTAATCAAAACTTTATAGACATATAAAAAAAGAAAACAAAAACTAATAAAAATGACAAAAACACAACAAAATTACTAAAACTTTAACAAAAATATTTTTTTAAATATTAAAAAAGAAAATATTAAAATAAACACTAATTTAAAATATCAATAAAAACTATGATACTAAATAACCCTGAACTGAAGTGGGGTTTTCAGTGGCTGTTCCAGATCCATCAATAATGCATAAATAATGAGTTTACTATGAAACTTAAAAAAATGTACTACAAAACACAGATATAGATATATGAAGTGTTATTTTAGCACCATTGAGATACTATCGTAGATTTTATTAATATTTTGGATCAGTTTTTATTTTTATATTTTCAGTTTTCCTTTTAATTTTAGTTAAAGTTTTAGTAATTTTGTTTGTGTTTTTGTCACTTTAAGTAGTTTTTTTATATATATGTCTATATAGTTTTTATTAGTTTTTATTTCAGTTTTAGTTATTTTAGTACATCAAGTTAAACTAAATTAGAATGAATGTTTCCTTGGCAGCTAGCTGGAAAACAAAATAGCCTATATTTTATTTCAGTTAATCTTTATTTTATTTCAAGTAACAAAAATGGGTTGTTATTGTTTTAATTTTAGTTTCAGTCTATAATAACAATGGACATATGCATACACATTTAATTGCAAGTCAATAAATACTATATAGAATATACATGATAACATACAGTACTATGCTGCAGTGTATGCAAGACTGTCTATACAGGAGATTTTTGTCTACTAATATTCATCAGTCAAGTGTGCTGAAAATCTCAAAATGGACAAATATTGAACAATTAATGAGTCTGTCACTGCTGCTATTTTTTGCAATTTTTATGCATAAAAACACATGCAAATTTGATGTCATAAAAACGGCAGCTAATCCGGCATTTCTTCCCAAACTTTCAGCCTCACGTAATCAAGCGGAGGGTGTGGCTGCTGTGAAGAAGATTTGTGAGGAGAACAGTGAAGCTCAGGGTGAGTCAGGCTTTATAACACACATATAACGCACATATAACACACATATAACACACATATAACGCACATATAACGCACATATAACACACATATAACACACATATAACACATGCACTTCTGTTTGTGTGACTGATCGTCGGCTTTAAGGCTCATGTCAGGGGATGTTTCGGGCCGTTTTCAGGTCGAGCAGCTCAAGGAGACTCAGAGACGCAGAATGAATGCTAATGGAGCTGCAGTGAATTGATTGTGTTGAACTAACGAACAGAATGTCAGCAACAAGCTGAAGAAAAGGTCAAGAAAACAAGTGTGGAGTATATAGTGTGTAGTGCCGTCAGCTTGCAAACCATTATTATGTCCATCCGTCTCTTCACCTAAACACGATTTAACAGGCGATTAGGGCTGGGGATTTGATTCGATATCGATTCACAAGCTTGCGATTTGATTCGATTCAATTCGACATTGATTCGTTTGGATATAAAGGCTATCACGAACAGTACATGTCCGTTTTTTCAAGGAAAAAGTCTCAAATCTCAACTAATTCTACAATAAACCCTGTCAATACTATATTAAAGTGATTTGTAAACAAACATTTAAATTGCACATAAGGCAGTTTTATAATAAAAATGTATTATAGCAACTTTTAATGATATAATTATGCTTCTACTCCAGTTTGTTATTGAAATATAAACATTTAAACAGTGGATGTTGTCATTTGTTTTCATGATGGTTTTATTCTCAAGAATAGAATAGAATAGACTAGAATAGAATAGAACTTTATGTCATTGTTTAGGAACAACAAAATACAGTTTAGCAGCTCTTCAGATTAGCAGGTAACAAACAGTATGACAGTGTTTATAAACAAAAAAAAAGTAGACATTATAAACAGACAGCAACATTCAAGACAAAGGCATAAATATAAAAATATAAATTTAGGTTATAAAAACGTGTGAATATCGTTTTGAAATGTTTCTAAAACCTCAAAATGTCCTGTTTTCTTGTCATGATTATAACGTTATTTAAAGGTTACAAAAACCTTCTTCCATCATTCTACTAACTTTTTTTCTTTTCCAAATGTTTTTTTTTTTATATTCTGAGAACGTTAAAATGTCCAGTTTTCTTGTCATAATTATTTCAAGGTTACAAAAAAAAATTTCTTACAACATTCTGTTTGTTTTTACTCAAAATGTAGCGTTATTTGAATGTTTATTTTTAAAATTCTAAGAATGTTACAATTTGTAGTTTTCTTGTCAGGATTATAAGGCTATTATAAGGTTACAAAAACATGTTTTCTCTTACCGTTATGAGAAGATGCATCAAATATGAATAAAGTTATACGAAGGTTCCATAAACATTACTTTAAGAATGATTTGTCCTAACATTTATATAACTTTTTAAAAACGTTAAACATTCCCTGTTAGCTGGGTTCAAACATTCATTAAATACTTGAAGAACAGGTGCAGTAAAAATATAATGAATATATAATATTTTTTCTAGCTGACTACCCAGTTTATGTTCATTGGATGTCTTTTCTGAGGTAAATGTGACGTTACGTGACATTATTGATCACAAGATGTTTTCTTGATGGTTGAAACACTGATTCATTACATGATTCATGATTCATTTCAGTTCTGATGTTCATTCATGTTTATTTGCTGTAGGAATTTGAAAGCTGACACTTTGTTTCAGATCAAAAGTAACAAAGCACAAAGATTATTGTGATTATTGAATGGGAGGAGCTACAGATAGTGTTTTGTTGAAGCATCAACTGAAAGCAGCAGAGATTGATTCTTTGGATTTAAGAATCAAAATCAGTTCAACCAAATGAGAATCGATTCAAATTGAGAAATCAATATTTTCAGCTCAAGCCTACTATATTCTGCAGTAAAATCTTACTTTAATGTGTTCTTTTCCATAATGGCACAGTAAAAGAAGTTTTGGATGTTTTTGTGCATTTTGAGCAAATCAAGTAACAGAACCACGTTCTTGTGGAGCAGCGACGTTGATGTCAGTCCCGCTGTGTTCAACAGAGCAGTCTTAGTTGTACGGTTTGCTTGAAAATGTATTGGTGGTGTTTTGGTGTTGCCCGGCAATGCTTTTGTATGGACAAGCCTTAAAAGATTAGTTCTAGGCTTTAGTCCGTTATAAATCAGTCAGGAAAATGCAGGTGGCCTCGCGTGATCCCCGCAGGAGTTTGCTGGAAAGAGACGAGCTGCGGGATACGAAATGAGGGAAAATCTAAAAAAATAAAATCAATGGATTTTACTTAACCCTATAAAGCTACTGGATCATATTTGATACGCAAAGCCTCTAAACGATCAAAGCTTTGCTGTTAAACCTGTTTCACACACAATCTACTACACGCCTTCTGTCATCTGATTGATAGTTCAGAGCTTGGAAAGTTGGAAGTAATTTAAAAAGCATGAATATTAAATAGATCACAATGGTGGTTGCTTATGCATATACATTTGTATGCATGCATATATCTATATACATATTATATGTACTTATATTTATGTGCAGATGCATGTAAATTCACATACTATATAGAAAATACATTCCATACATTGCATGCATTGTAAGCATAGTATGTTATTATGTATTTTGTATATATTATGTAAATTTACATAAATTTGTATTCATATATCTATGTGCATATGCATATTTTATGTATTTGAATTTATTATGCATATAAATGTATACTACTACTATACACTGCAGGAATATTAATATGTTGTTTTATATTATATAAATTAATATGCATATAAATTTGTATTTTATATTTTGTCATTTTGTATTTTGCATATTATAAATTTACATACTATATAGAATATACATACTATACGCTGCAGGAATATTAAGCGTAATATGTTATTATGTATTTTCTACATATTATGTCAATATATATGCATATGCATGTAAATTTACATTATTTTTTAGAATATGCATACTATACACTGCAGGAATATTAAGCATATAATGTTATTATGTATTTTCTATATATTATGTAAATGCATGTGCATATAAATTTGTAAAAATATAAAATATAAATGTTACATATTTTATAGAAAGTTTTATATAATATGTAAATGTATCTGCATATAAATGTGTATGCATATATTGATATGCATTAGTATATTATATGCATTTAAATCTGTATGCATGTAAATGTACATACTATATAGAAAATGCATATAAATGTGCATGCATATGCCTATAAGCGTATTATATGCATATACATTTACATACTATATAGAAAATAAATTATATGCACTGCAGGAATGTTAAGCAGAGAATATTTTGTATTTTATATTATGTCAATTTATTAATTTAATTTCAATTTATATGCATGCATAGACATTTACATATTTTATAGAAAGTTCTATATAATATGTAAATGTATCTGCATATAAATGTGTATGCATTAGTATATTATATGCATTTAAATCTGTATGCATGTAAATGTACATACTATATAGAAAATGCATATACATTTGTATGCATATATCTATATGTGAATTATATGCATTTAAAATTATATGCATTTTAATGCACACACTATATAGAAAATACATACTATACACTGCAAGATTAGTAAGTGTAGCATGTTATTCTGAAGTGTTGTTTTTGAAAATGCAGCTTTGTTAGTCATTAATGCTGCTGATGAACCTGTTCAGACAGGATCTTATTCTGAAGAGCTTCGGACCCTCCAGCGATCTTCACACAACAACTGAACGGGTCTGAGAGGCTGTGAGCATTTCTGAGAGCTGATGTCTTTGACACTAAAAGGCACGGCTTCTCTCGAGTCGCTCGTCCCGTAAGCGTGAGGTCAGGGGAGGCGGTGGGACACTAGGAAGGGCTCATCCATCTGGATGGGATTCCACAAAGTTTCAGCACTAAATGAGCAGCATGAGTCACTCTGGATGAATGATTTGGCGAGAAAGACCTTCAGAATAATCTCAAACCCAGCTCATGCAGGCGAGAAGATATTGAAGTGTTACTCAGTTCAAGCAGATTTACCATAAAGGACTTCTATCTCAGAGTCAAGTGTGAGAAAGTCCATTAAACTTGAACGTTTGACAACATTGATCTGTTTGATTGACAAGGTTCCCATTTTCATGGAAAACCTGGAAATATATAGGGAATATCGGGAAAGTGTTATTTTAGTATCTTTGTTATAGTTTTTGTTAATATTTTTAATTAGTTTTTATTTTAATATTTTCCATTTTAAATTTTGTTTATGCTTTAGTAATTTTGTTGTGAGTTTTTGTCATTTTTATTAGTTTTTTTTTGTTTAGGATTTTACTAATTTCCATGACTTTTCCATATATATATACAGGTGCATCTCAATAAATTAGAATGTCGTTGAAAAGTTCATTTATTTCAGTAATTCAACTTAAATTGTGAAACTCGTGTATTAAATAAATTCAGTGCACACAGACTGAAGTAGTTTAAGTCTTTGGTTCTTTTAATTGTGATGATTTTGGCTCACATTTAACAAAAACCCACCAATTCACTATCTCAACAAATTAGAATACTTCATAAGACCAATAAAAAAAACATTTTTAGTGAATTGTTGGCCTTCTGGAAAGTATGTTCATTTACTGTACATGTACTCTTAAAAGACTAATTACTTTCACCCCAAATACTAATTAGTTGTAATTTTACATTTTTTAAATTTGCCACTATACTAGGTTTTGGCCTTTTGTCAGTAAGAATTTTTTACTCTTTTATATATTTTAATATGTACAGGTCAGAATAAGCATGTTGTCTGAATTTTTACATAAATATTGTGTTACACTGAATGACAATGTAACATTATTTCAACCAAATTGTAACATTTTATCCTCCAAAAACGTATTTGAATCCTTAAAAGTAGACACTTTACTTACATTCAATGTTCTTTCTATGGACATAAAATCACTTTTGTAAATTTCTTTTGATGCGGACATA